TTATTTTTAAAAAGTTTCAAAAAGTTTCTCTCTCTAAAAATTGATATAATTTCTCTTTTTAAAATTGTAAGATATTTTCTTTTTCTAAAACTTAAAATTTTACGTAGTTTCTCTCTCTAAAATTTTTGAAGTAGTTTCTCTCTCTAAAAATTTAAGTACTTCTCTTTTCAAACTTTGATATAGTTTGTCCCTTTAATATTTTAAGATACTTTTCTCTTTAAAATTTTAAATATGAGATAGTTTTTTCTTTACAAATTTTGATATCGTTTCTATTTCTAAAAAATTTTAGTTAATTTTTCTCTTTAAAATATTTTCATTTTTTTCTCTCTCTAAAATTTTAAGATACTTTCTCTCCATAAAACTTAAAATTCGATTTAGTTTCTCTCTCATAAAAATTTTAAGATGCTTTCTCTCTATAAAATTTAAAATTTGAGATAGTTTCTTTCTCTAAAAATATTAATACAGTCTCTCTAAAAATTTTGAGATATTTTCTTTCTGTACAATTTTTTGGGTACGTGTTCTCTCTAAACCTTAAGTTCTCTCTAAACCTTAAAATTTGAGATAGTTTCTTTCTCCAAAATTTGATATAGTTTCTCTCTAAAATTTTAAGATACTTTCTCTCTTTAAAACTTAAAATTTGAGATAGTTTTTCTCCCTAAAAATTTTGAAAAAAAAATTTTCTAAAAATTTTGAGTACTTTATCTCTCTATAATTTAAAATTTAATACAATTTCTCTCTAAATATTTTAAGATAGTTTCTATCTAAATCATTTGAGGTAAGTTCTCTTTGTAAGACTTAAAATTTGAGTTAGTTTCTCTCTTTAAAAATTTTACATTAGTTTCTCTCTCTAAATATTTTCAATAGATTTCTTTTAATCAAGTTTAAAATTTGAGATAGTTTCTTTCTTTAAAAATTTTGAGATCTTTATAAAACTTAAAAGTTGGGATAGTTTTTCTCCAAAAAAATTTAGATAGTTTCTCTCTCCCTAAAAATTTTCAGGTCTTTTCTATCTCTAAAACTTAAAATTTGAGATTGTTTCTTTCTTTAAACATTTTGAGATAAGTTCTCTCTCTAAGACTTAAAATTGAGATAGTTTCTCTCTCTAAAAATTTTGAGATAGTTTCTCTCTTAAAAACATTTAGGTACTTTCTCTCTAAAACTTAATATGGGAGATAGTTTCTCTCTCTAAGATTTAAAATTTGGGATAGCTTCTCTTTCTAAAAAATTTGAGATAGTTTCTCTCTCTAAAATTTTCAGGTACTTTCTCACTATGAAGCTTAAAATTTGAGATAGTTTCTCTCTCTATAATTTTCAAGCACTTTCTCTTTATAAAACATAATTTTTAGAGTTTATTATTCTGATAATTTTGTGATAGTTTCTCTTACTAAAAATTAAAGTTTGAGATTGTTTTTGAGATAGTTTCTCTCTCTAAAACTTTGTAGGTAGTTCTCTCTCTAAAATTTGGTAAAGTTTCTCTACAATTTTAACATATTTTTGTCTCTCTAAAACTCAAATTTTGAGATAGTTTCTCTCTCAAAATTTTCAGGTACTGTCTCTCTATAAAACTAAAAATTTGAAATTATTTCTCTCTCAAAGAATTTTCAAGTGCTTTCGCTTTATAAGACATAAAATTTGAGATAGTTTATTTTTCTAAAAAATTTCAAGTACTTTCTCACTCTAAAAACTTAAGATTTGATGTAATTTATCTCTTTAAAACTTTTTTAGATACGTGTCCATCTAAAATGGATATAGTTTCTCTCTCTAAAATTTTAAAAAAATTTCTCTCTCTAAAATTTTAAGAAATTTTCTCTCTCTAAAATTTTAAGATATTTTTTCTTTCTAAAATTTAAAATTTGATATAGTTTCTCTATATAAATACTTTGAGATAATGATGCAAATAAAATTAGGGTTATTTAATTTTTTTTATTATTCTTTTGTTTATTTTTTTTAAGAATAAGGAGGTGCAAAGGGATAATTAGGTAGGAATTTATTTTGTACGTGAATGAACTGATATTTATCAGTTGGGTGGTTAGTTTAGGAGTATAAATAGGATAAGGTTAATCATGAGATTTATCTTTTATCTTTTCAACAATAGCTTTGGGTAAAGTGTGGGTGGCATGTGAATTTTAGTGAGAGAAAATAGGTTAAGGGAGTTAAAATAGGAAAGTCCATTATTATTTTTAGTCTATTTAAAGGGATATCTCCATTCATTATAAAGAGGTTAAAGACTTAATAAAATTTGGTCAAATTATTTTGGGGTGGATTCCCTCAGACCTTAAGAGATGGTATATTATCTCAATTTTTTTTGTTATTTTTTTATTTTTTTTGATTTTATTTTCTCTTTGCATCAATTGGTATCAGAACAAGTTAAATCGGAGTAAGTTATATTTTGATCAAGTTAGATCCAGATAAGTTAGATCTTAGAAAGAGCAAGTAACGGCAAAAAATATTTGATTTTTTACAATGCCACCAAAAGCTAATCAAGCTAATCCAGTTGCTACTATGGATGATAGTTGGGAACAAGCAATAAAAAATTTGACTAAAGCCCTAGAAATGAATTACGTGATATGAAATTTGACTAAAGCCCTAGAACTGAATTACGTGAGATTGGGGGATATAACGATTGGATGATTGCAGCGGTTGAAGAATAACCTTCCTCGTGAAGAAGGTACTAAAAACCACATTAATCTTGCATCAGAAATTTCACGACAAATCTATAGAAACTACATTAATTTTGCATCAAGAATTTCACAACAAATCTAGGGTGTTGATTTCAAGTGTAATGAAGAAATTTAAAGGACAGATCCACATCCTATAGAGCGACCACGAGGTTTTGATATTTAAAATCGATTTCCCAAAATGACCACGAGATACCAAAATTTCATGGTTAAAGGGGTTCATCGATAGCATATGTTGTAGGCAAAGAGTCTTACATTAGTCTTCAAGAAATTGAAGAAAAAGTACCGAGACTCATGATGAGACTTCATCACCAACTTTTGAGAAGGGCCCTAAAAGTTTTGAGTTCGCTAACCAAGGGAAAATGATGCAAATAAAATTAAGATTAGTTTAATTTTTTTATTTTATTATTCTTTTGTTTATTTTTCTTAAGAATAAAGAAGTGCTGCGTAGGGATAATTAGGTGGGAGTTTATTTTTTATGTAAATGAATTGATATTTATCAATTGAGTGGTTAGTTTAGTAGTATAAATAGGATAAGGTTAAAAGTGGGGGTTTATCATTTATCTTTTCAACAATAGCTTTGGGTAAAACATGGGTGGCACGTGAATTTAAGAGAGAGAAGATAGGGACGAGAGAAAATACGTTAAGGGAGTTAAAATAGAAAAATTCATTGTTTATTTTCTTTCTTCATTTTTTAATCTATTTAAAAGGATAGCTCTCTTCATTGTAAAGACGTGAATGAGTTAATAAAATTTAGTCTTATAAAGATATTATTTTGGGGTGGATTCTTTTGAGAGATGGTATATTCTCTCAACCTTTTCTTTTTTATTTTATTTTCTTTCTGCATCATCAAATAATTTCTCTCTTAAAATCTTCAAAAGTTTTACTCTAAAAAATTAGAAATAGTTTAAGGCTAGAAATCAATTTCGGAGGGTAAAGATAATGATACGGATTTTTTTTTTTTGTCTTAAAATGAGAAAAACAATTACAAGTGAAAATACTTTTCAATCCCAAAATATTGTCTCAATGAGAAATGTGCTATCTCCTCTGAAAAATATTTCTGAAAATATTGCCAAGTATGCAAACCACCCCTCTGCATTACACTTCATAAGCTGATTGGAGTGAACTCCACAAAATCCAAGAGTAATTTTTAACTTCAATAAAGAACCCACCAATAACTTGAACGGGGAAGTATACTCTTTTCCTCTTTTTAAGAATGTGTATGTTTCAATCAAACCAAACCGGTGTGCATAAAACCCACCTCAACCTTGTTCATCTCTCGCTAAAAGCTCAATTTAAAAACAAATTCTAGAAGTGCTCGAGCCACTGACTTGGGTTTCTTTTTCCTTTTCTTTTCTGAAATTACTTAGTACACTATGCTCCCTTGGGATCGTATATACTTGTACTCCTCATCCAGGAGATCTGTTTGTGAGGCATCTTTTAATCTGAAAATTTGGGAACTATTTAGACGATTATCCTTAAAAAACAAGAAATTGAAATTTGAGTTATCTAACGCTTAGATATCACCATCTAAAATTGGATGGTCTATTTTGAGACATTATTTGGATGCGTTTCTATAAGGCCGAGGCTCTAAACAATCGGAGTAAATCAAACATTCAAATAGTCTAGAGAAATGTGGTTTCAATACTGGAAATCTTTGTGATAGCCTGGAAATATATTATCATTCCAATTGTAAATTTTAAAGCTAAAAAAATAGCAGAGATCGAGCAAATCTATAAAAACTTGAACATCTTGAAAATTGACAGTCCAAAAATATATTATATAAGATGTACTATTTTCAAAATTGAAAGTCTACATTTTTCTCGTGTCCATGCATCTTGAGATAGAGATGATCACTTTGAGGATCTTTAGGCATGAAAAACAACCTTTTTTAGTGAAAGTATTGAGGTGGCCCCTAATTTTATGGTTTAGAGCCTCACACTTTCATAAACTTTACTTTATCTATGGGTTGAAGAGGTTACATCCCAAATTTTAGGGTCATAAAATTGAATATGGTGTGGTTTTACCCAAGAGCGTAAATGGACATTCTACTTCCATGGGAGCAGAAAATCATTTGGCATGAAAAAAAAAAAAGCCTTGTGAGTCTTTTGTCCGAGGAAGCAAATGGTCATTTTGATACCGCGGGAGCACGAATTTAGTACGTTTCGTACGTCCTGAAAAAAACAGTTAGGGACTGTTCTGACATTGAGAATTATGTTCGGGAGTAATAGTGTCTTTTCCTTGAGACATAATAAAATGTGGAACCCGCTGTTTTTATTGTTACACAAACTCACAGGAGGTACGAAATAAAAATCACAAAACCACAAAACCCTTATTTCTGGCTCTCTCTCTCTCTCTCTCTCTCGCACTCTCTCTCTTTCTCTCTCTAATGAGGATCAGGAGTAGAGCAAAAGCGGCTACCCCTTTCTCTCTCTTCAATCTTTCAGCTGTCATTGCTTCAAAGAAGCTCCTCTTTAATGGCGCTGGAGCTGAGACTCGCATCTGCAAGCTCAACAGATCCCCTTGGGATATCCCCGAGGTACTCCTCTCTCTCTCTCTCTCTTTTCTCTTCTCTCTCAAAAATAGGTTCTAGGTTATGGAGCATTTCCCATCTCGAACTATTCGATCTGCTTTGGTCTCTCATACTTCGTTTTCTCCACTCTTGCTTTAATCCCAGCTCAACCCTAACCCTAACCCTAACCCTAACATGGTTTTGGTTATATACTAGTGGTTGGACGTTTCTTCTGTAATTTTTGTTGATTCTATGCATTGCTCCATGGATTATTGGTTTTCTTCGTTGCTTGTTGTGGCAATGGGGCTTCTTCGGATCAAGCAGGCAATGGATGCTATGGAAACGATAACCGGAGAGGGGAGAATGGGATTCGACGCTTCTTCTCTTTTCAGGTGAGATCCTTCTCCTTCCACATTCTCTCTCTTTTGCTCTCTCGAGTTTTAGGGTTTTTATCACCTTCTTCGGCCACGGCTCTCCCTCCCTATCTCTTGTTAATGACTCTCATTAGCTCTGCATTTCTGGGTTTTGGGGCTTTCTTTGAGGTCGAGACCTGCTTCTGCAATTGCACAACCCAGTTTCTCTCTCTTCGTGACTCTTTTTCTCTCTCTACTCGTGTTGTTCTGCAGGCCTTGTTCATTTTCAGCAGTCCAAATATGCAAAGAGGAGAGATGTAATATTACCAATCCCAAAGTAAAAAATACAGAAGAAGAAGTAGAGGAAGAAGAAGAGAGAGGTATTATTTTTTGAATAAAAATTCTTATATTTTAGTGATTGATTATTTTCCCTTTGGCTTCGAAACCCTTGTTTCTCCACTGGGTTTTTCTTCTCTTCTCCTCGTCCCATTGGTTTCACGCAAATTACAAGAATTGTCCCAGGTTTTGGACAAAAGGCCACCCTCTCCTATAGTTTGAAATTACGGAAACAACACCTAGTGTTTTACGATATAGCAATTGTGTCCTCAACTACGTGAGTTTTCCACACAATCCACAGTGTGGAATTCAAGGCTTTTATTTAAACAAAATCTCCAAATTGCCCATGGCGCAGAGAGGGGTTTGGACGTGGATAATAAATAAAATCCGAAATATATGCGAGCAAAAGATGGGTAAAACAGTCATATTCTTAGAGAGACGAAAAAGTGTCCGGAACTGGGTTAAAAATTTGCGATTTTGACGTACAATCGCCTGATTCTAATTGAACAATCCAAATTTACGGGACACCAGAACCAGCCATTTCCCCTAATTCTTCTAATTTTATTTCTTTTTCTATTGTTAATTGTCCTTGGTCCGACCTGATTTTTTAAAGAATTGTGCAAGATAGAGAGACACATACTTGCCGTCTTGGTGCTCGATAGGGTTCACGACCCAAACTCGCCCTAGCCCTAGCGCTACCCCCAACCCCACCCCCACCCCCAGTTCACCCTTTAGTCCCTGGCCCAATTCCAGCCGGGGAAGAGGCCTTGGTCCAAGCCTGAACTTCGCCTTGGGGCCAGAGGGCCGCCGTGTTGGGCCAAGCTGTGTCGACTTGGCCCTTGCCCCAACTGGCTCTACCTTCGAGCCGTGGTTCCAAACTTTGTGACTTAGGCCCTAGGTTTTTTAGGACCGATTGACTGGGCTGGGCTGGGTTGGGATGAGCCACTAGGCCTATTGCGATTCCACCTGTACTGGTAGTCATAGGGTACGTGATGGCAATCATGTAATTTTGGTGCGGGCTAGGTGCTCATATTGTCACAATATTGGCAACATAAAAAAAAACAAAAACTAACCAAGCGGTGTAAAAAAAAAAAAGCTCATAATCATGGGCTATATGATGGTTAAAAAAAAGGGAAAAAAAAAAAAATCTCATAATTTTAGGGTGACAATGGATCCAACCATAACCAGGACTTATTAGTAGGCTTGAGACCCGATGGGTCGGTCCAAATTTTGGACTCGAATATTATTTGAGCCTGGGCTTGGGTTCGGCCGGATCGGATCCGTACCAGATCCCCATTATTTAGGAGGGTACGGTCTTGTGTCATTTTCACCCTTTAATAAAAATAGTAAAATTATGTAAATATTTTTAATTCGTATCGCCAAAACTCAGATATTTTTGGTGCGACAACGGACTGCCATGAGAAGCTGATAGCGAAGGAGGAAGAAGGTGGAAGAAGTAATATAAAAAGAATATCAGGGGCAATCCCGTCATTGCAGCCAAAAGATCCTCTCCCATCGATCTCGGACAACAAAACCCTCACCTCACTCCCAAACCCTAATAAATCCTCGCAATCGAACTGCAAAATAATAGCAGGAGGCAAGCGATCTCCTCCTAAAACCAGGGCAAAAAAGGAGAAGAAACAAGCTAAGACCAAAGAGAAGAAGAATAACGCAGAGAAGGAAGAGGAGAAGCAGAGCAACAATGACAGTGGCCGAACGGACGGAGAGGTATCGCAGTGTCACAAGGCGTCAAGGAATGGCCAAAGCCCCCATGACTGCGACTGCGTTTCATCGCAGAAGTCTCATTGCTCTTCATTTGATCGACCTCAAAGGTCAGCCATGGGGCTGAGACAGAGGAGGCCCTATGATGAGGGCTATTACTATTATTATTCAGGGTTTGCCCCTTCGTGCAAGAGAAAGCGCGATAGAGAAATGGAGAAGCGATTAGAGCCCTCTGCAACTCCTCCTGTCGTCGATAAACCACGGGAAGATAAAGAAGAAGATGTAGTAGAAGAAGAAGAGTTGGAAATGGTGATGCAGGTGAAGAAGAAGATAAAGAGTGGGAGGAAGCCTATGAAAGCTCGATCCCTAAACTCTTTGCTCTGATTCCATGTCATCTATAGAAAAGAAAGTGCGTTCATAAGGGTCAGCGATAAGCTCTGAATGGTTCGGGCCAGGGAGTTGTGGAAAGCAATGCGGTTCCTCTTTGTCGGGGAGTTCGGGCCAGGGAGTTGTGGAGAGCAATGCGGTTCCTCTTGCTGCAATCTGCCAGTCAGGGAGTTGTGGAGAGCAATGCGGTTCCTCTCTATGCACTCCGCCATGGCAGGGTTTAAGTTGAGGAGAATTAGGGTTCGGCCATGAAAGGCTTTAAGTTGCAGAGATTTAGGGTTTCTATCTTGGACTCCAAGAGGGGTATTTTGGTCACTTTCTGCCGTATTTTTGCTGTTCGAAAGATTACGATTAATCATGTAAAAATCCAGCTGGACTAAACAAGTGATTTGGCCGACTGTATCATTCCATGTTGCATCACGACCCCTTGCTTGCGCTTCGAAAATGGTTTGATGGGGCTGCAGCCCTATCAAAATAAGTAAAGCCTCACCTCATAGCTCTTCAAAAATCGCAATTTAAGTATTGTAAAACCGATCCTCAGCTTGAACATTATGGTCCTAAAAAAAATTAGGATTTTAAGTTTTAAAAAATAATCTATTTTGCGATAAATCATCTAACACCATCTAACTCACTCTAAAAATAAGTGTTCACAAACTACTATTTTTTTAGTTTCAAATTGTATTGTTCAAAATTGATTTTAGAGTCGTAATGAAGGTTTCTAATGCTCAAAGTGTTTTTCCGGTGAAGATTTGAGATAAGGTTTTATTTTGTTTTCCTAAAGCATAGGCCTATAAAAACTATACAACATAAAGTCTCCCTACTATCGAGGAAGTGGCCTGGAGTTTTTAGGATTTTATAAAAATCAGGTGAGCCCACATCGATTAGAGTGGTGGGCCACATGAGCATTTTCCTTTTGAATATTGGTGGTTTTCTTGCTCCAATAGAATTTGGGAAGTCTCTCCTAATAAATAGATAGTAACTTGTCTCTCTTAATAAAATAGGTAACTTCAAATTTGAAATGGGAAATCACCAAGTTGTATTGAATGTGATGAGTGTAAATGAAAGATTTTCCCCTTTTTCAAAAAAATGCAAAATAAGACATTATTTCCCAAGAGAGTCGTTGAAGGCCCGCCCAAACATGCGTACCTTGATGAAAGAGGTTTTTACGTACAGACATAAATACAAAATGCCACATTTTTTTTTCTAACATATTGCACATAAGGTTAGTGGCCTCCGTTCCATTTTATTTTTGCCATATTTTCATTTGCTACAATGTTACCAACATCAGACCGCTTTAAATTTGTTCTTTTTCAAATTTTTAGTGAAGTTATGTTTAGTCAGGTGTGCTAAATAGCGGACGGGCACGCTTTAAGCAATTTAAGGTTTAGGACCTCGAACAGGTAGTTTTGCCCTAGATTGCCACATGATGGCAGTCCGAGGTCTTGGACCTCGGACCACTCACTGGGCTAAGCAATCGTTCTAGACATCGGACTGTCCTTGAAGTGAGAATAAATAAATAAATTTAAAACTGGTCTGAAGTTGGCAATATCGAATCAATGGGCAAATTAGGAAAAATACAAAAGATGTGAACCGATCGATCTTTCTCATAATATTTAAGAAACAATGGAGTTTTTGGTGTTTCCTCTTTTGTTTTTGTGTCTGTAAGTGAATCACACTTGTTAGAATTCTTAAATTTGGATAAAATTTTAGCCATCACTTATTTTTTATTTACCATACAAAACGTGTGGAAATTTATCCATTATTTTTTTAAATCATTATTCTTATTTTTCTTATAATTTTTAAAAATCAATCCAACTAGTTGAACAGATCGAACCAAGACCGACGTTGTTGTGATTTGACCTAATCCTTTATAAATGACTATTGCGGGTGTTTTCGACCTTAGTGACAATTATCTTTATCCTGATATTATTGTCTCACGATATCATCAGTTGGGTCTTTTTTATTAGGTACATATATCAGAATGTTATCAAAAACTTAATATATGAAAATTGTATTATAATCTCTGTCATGAATTAGATATAAATTCACTGTTACAGCCTTTTATTTAGTAATGTCATTAAAATCTACCCCTATTTAGATACTCAAATGAAATTCGTGTAATTTTAAATCTCTTTCAAAAATTAAAATTTAAATAATAACAATTTCAAGTTATTTCTTTTTAAAATTTTAAATTCTATGTTGTATTTAAGGTTTTTAAAAAATTTAGCATTAAAAAATTAATAAAACAACACAATTTTGCTACTTCTTAAGTTATTATTTTACTAATAAAAGAGGGAACTTTTATTTGAATTTTTATCATCAAAATATAGTTTTGAAAATATTTTTGTGATTATCGTTATTATCGAGATACTAAGGCCTATGTTATAATGATAAATTCATTTTATTGTGATAATATCATTGATATTATCGGCCATTGATTTTCTCGTAAGAAATCAAGATAAATTGAACTTTTTATTCTTTTCAGAAAGGTATCAAAAACTTATTGGCAATAGTTATCACTTAGTCTTGCATATTAATTCTAAAAACCAATAGGCTAGACATGTTTGTACATTTCCTTTTTAAAATAAATATTATATTTTTTGTTCTATACCACATAGTTTTTCTTTTTATTACATCTTCTAAGTCGTTGGAGCGGAAATAGCACAATCTTAGATTGGACAGCTGAGATCCGACCCTCGGATGTATTCTTACCAATGTGTAGTTTTACTTTTATATAAACACATGTTAACACCTAAAATAAAGCTAATTATCATCATCAAAACTTTTTCCCAATTATTTGGGGTCAGCTATAAAGGCCATGGCTCATATATCAACCATCCATTTTTTTCTCTCTACCATTCAAAATATGGCTGGAAAGACTATTTGCACTTGTTTGGATTGGTTTTCATAAAAAAAAATTGTGCAAAAAGGGGCCAAAAATTTAAAACTTCCCCTAAACAATAAGAAAATATTTCAGATTTTCCTTCAAAATAGGACTTAAAAACATGCAGATATGTGTATGGGCGAAAATATATACGGATAACCAGTAAAAGGAATGAACTATAAATAAAATAAAGGAAATTTCCAGTCAATAACGTTAAGATCGTGTCTAGTTGGTAAAATTTTTTTCACATAAGACAAAAATAATAAAGTGTGAACATTAAGTGCTCGTTGTCTCATAAAATTTATTTTCCGTAAAATATACTTCTTGATAAAAGTATTTCCAGTAAAAACAATTTAGTGTTTGGATGATACATAGATATATAATACTTTCATTATTATCATCGAAGCGTTTTTCCAATTAATTGAGATTGGATACACGATGATACATAGATATATAATACTTTCATCATTATCATTGAAGCCTTTTCCATTTTTTAGCCTTTCATTTGAACCAACTCGAACCTCCTAATAGGTGCTATAATGGGTCCGCACCACGCATTGCCAACCCACCTAGGTCCACTTTTTCTCATCTAATCATATATTGGTGCGACACCTAAACTTTCATGGCTTTTTTTTTTTTTCCGACTAAACGCTTTTGGTTGTACTATTTATTCTAAAGCCATTTTTTTTGTTAAATTTGATATAGTTTCTCTCTTTAAAAAATTTTAAGATATTTTATCTCTCTAATGGCATGTTTGTTTTTTGAAAAGTATTCTTTCAAAAAGAAATGTTTCTGATTTTCATAGATTCTATCAAAAAGTTCAAAAAGTAATCTTCCAATAAAGTTCCCAATCCAATGTTAAAAGTTGAAAAATTAAGTTTCTAAGGGAATTTAAACTTAATCTTTCAGAATGTTTTTGTTTATCACGATT